TGATTTTAGCTACTTTATTCACCGATTTTTTTTTAAGTTTCGCATTTGAATATTGTAATGGCTTATGACAAAGACAAAAGGTTCATATCGTCGTATAGACCCTAATATAACGGTATTTTTAGGATTTCAAGTTTTTATTGTTTTGGAGAATTGCTAAAATGCGTTCCAAATGGTGAAGGGTATTCAAAGTTCGGCCCTGCTTTTTTACTTTTTTTTACATTTAAATATTTTTTCTCTGTACAAATACAGCTATAAGTCTATTAAACGAAGAACAAATCATTTTTTGCGGCAACGCTTTATGCATGAGCAAAGTAACTATCATTCTCTTCCTCCCAGATTTTCCCCAAATTATATATGTTGTGAAAATCTTTGACCTAAACTTCAGCATCTACCCCATTGCTATCGAATTTAAAATAAGGAGCGAAGACAAATATTAATATTGAATATGATTTTAACTATTAAATATGCTACGTTGGGCGCCACTGTAATACTTTAAGACGGTTGGATTAGAGTCCAATTAAAATAACGAGCGAAGATAAATATTAATATTGAATATGATTTTAACTATTAAATATGCTACGTTGGGCGCCACTTTAAAACGGGAGGATTAATGTCCAATGATAGGTTCAGAAAAAAAAATCTAAATGTAGGAAAAATCGTAGACACAAATTTTAACTTACCTCCTATTGCTATCGAAATTAATGAAAACTATGTTGAGCGCCACTTTCTTTCTTTAAAATGGGATAATTTTATGCCACCGGGAAGTCTTAAGATCATAGTAAATTATTTTCCTTTAAAATATGTTGTAAATCATATTTGTTGGGAAAATCTTAATTCCAATCTACTCTACTTCTGCAGCTATCAACTTATACACATTATAACGGGTCCAAGAGAAACATTAATTTGCAAAATATTTTCCTCTGAAAGGTGTCCAGCACTTGCTAAACACCTTGCCCGCTCTTACTAATACTTGCAAATTGTTTAAGGGCCGCTGTTCTAGAAATTGTTTGTTTAAAGTAATTTTTATGAAATACAATATGATTGAAGTTTTAAGTCGAGAAACAAAAACAAACAAACAAACACTTCAATATCATATTCAAATAGACATCAGAAACAACAACAACAACGGAAAAAACAGCAAAATGAAATATCTGGACTTTTAACTGGCATAAAGGTTAAATAAATGCGAAATAGCTATGGGGATGATGATGCTGACGATGATGGCGGCTTTCCCACGAATCAAACGCCAACAAATGTTGATGTTTGTTGTTAGGCGCTTGCGAATATGCCTTGAGATGAAAATGGAAATATGGTGGCCAAAAGGTAGTAGGGGAGGTTTTTGCATAAAATTATAGGAAAATATGAAAAAAAATAGCTAGCTGCTTACCTACCTTAGCTGGAAGCTGTGAAGGCGTAGTGGTGGGGAGGGGAGCATAGAAAAAAGGAAAGTATGTCGGAAAAATGTTGTTGTTTATACAACTGGCATTTGCTGTTCTTCTAGCCGTTGTTATTGTGATATGCTGTCTTTTCTTCTTGTCTAAACTGACAACTTAAGGTAATTGTTTTGTTCGGTGCTTGTTAAAATTCCTCCTCCTCCTCTGCCCCCTCCCCTTTTTTCGTACACTCAATTGGTTCAACAAAAATGATTGGTTGCCCTGGAACCACATTGTGATACCTATCTACGGCTTTTGAACTGCAATTATAGAAGAAAATAAAATAAAAATCCCCCCAACTTAAGATCACATTTCTTGGCTTTGATAGATTGTTGCTGCTGGATAAATGTCCTTCTTCTTAGCCGCTTCTTAACATTTCAATATTATGGATATATGATGGCCATTATGAAGATTTCAATCTAAATACATATTATCTGGAAATCCTAAGCTATTTGTTGTCATTGTATATTATTTTATTATGATTGTGTAAAGGATATCTCTCATAATTATTGTAAAATGGATACTATGATGATGATGAGGAGGACGAGAACGAGAACGGTGATTGTTTAGACAGTAATTTAAAAGTTCAACTAATTGACCCCATTCTAAGGCAAAAGACAAATGTAGATAGACTTCTTATGGTTTATGGCTGGCACATCATCGATATCAATTAACCAGTCAAGCATCCATACAGCCACCCATCAACCCATACATTTCGATTGCTAGGCATAGTCGCATTTCCAATTAGGACAAACAATCAACCACCACCAACGCCGCCGACACCGCCACCACCCATCCTTGGCCATAGATATCATCACATTATGACTATTTGCCATGATTATAAATGATATAGATGTAGAGGGAGGGGGAGTAAAAGAGAGAAGTGCGTGTGGTTTTCATTTTCAATTCTGCAAAGGCCAACTGCGCCACATCTACGAAGACAATTAATTTCAACCAAAATTTATGATTTATAACATTTCAATATCGTTTTGTTGGTTTTTGTTGGCCTATTATCGATTCGATTTGATTTATAAACAATTTGATGTTTGTAATTATTATTGGTTTTTCACATAGCTACATACTACATACTTAAATATATTTTAAAGAAATTGTGTGTGTATGTCCGAGTATGTTCATTTGTTCGTGGGTGTTTATATATGTGTGCATTAATTTGGAGAGAGAGATCATATCATTTATCGTTGTTATATTTATAATTAAAATCAATGTAATTGTTATATCTTCGCTATATGTGTATATGTTTGATATTTCAATTTTAAGGAAATCCCTCTGGGCAAAGTGACTAGTTATGAATATTTGAAATATTTAAGATCTGTGATGACTGCTTTATGATCAGGATACTGAGGGGTCTGAATAACTATACTGAAAGTCTGCATAGTATTCTTAAGGAGTCCCATTCCTTTCACCATCCTAAAATGTATTAGCAATTATTTTTATTTCATTGGCTTTTAGAATACTTGGATTCAATCGCGTTGGACGCTATCTCACAATTGACGAAAGTTGGATTATCAAACGGCAATGAAGCAAATTTAACTTAATTAGTATTCGATTCTTATTACTTTACACTGGGCGCCATTTTCATGTTATCTTCTTTCGGAAATATACTATTTTTAAGTGAAGAAAATAAGTATTAGTTCTTTAGTATTAGTTCTTAGTTCTTTTTAAGAACACATTGGCCGTCATATTCAAATCATTTCTAAGAATGATTCCCTATTTCAAATAAAAAAAGAAATTTTTGATAAAATTAATAAAATCAATTATCACCTAACTTTGGTAATTTGACGTTGGGCGCCACTTTCATTTTCCGTAAAATAAAAAGGTTGTTTCTCTTTATTTTGCTCAATATCACTTGTATTTTATTTTATAGCTTGTTTTTATAAATTTTCAGAAATATTAGGTATTTGAAAAAAAAGGTAAAAGAAATATAAGTTCAGCCGGGTCAATCTTTGAATACCCTCCACCATTGGGAACGAATTTTGCAATTTTCACAAAAAAAGAAGAATAATAATAATAAATAAATCAGTTAAAAGTTCTATAAAAAATTTAAAAATCGGGAGGTACCGTTGTATGGAGGCCATACGATGACGTGGACCTGCACAGACAATTTTCTGTCATAGGCTCTAGTATCCATTACGAACTTCAACCGCCAAATTTGAAACAATCCCGTTATACGGGGGTTATACGAAGGCGTGGACCTGCACCTTGCATTACGAACTTCAAGCACCAAATTTGAAACAATTCCGGTGAATAATGTCGCTAATATCATCAAAATATCGAATATCGGGGGATACCATTACATGGGGACTATACGAAGACGTGGTGGGCCTGCACAGACAATTTTCTGTATTAAACTGTACTATCCGTAACGAACTTCAAATACCAAATTTGAAACAATTCAGGTAACAATGTCGCTAAAATCACCAAAATACCGAAAAAGGGAGGTACCATTACATGGGGGCTATACGAAGACGAGGTGGGCCTGTACAGACAATTTTCTGTATTAAGCTGTATCCATTACGAACTTCAAATACCAAATTTGAAACAATTCCGGTAAAAATGTCACATAAATCACCAAAATACCGAAAAAGGGAGGTACCATTGGTATGGTACTGTGTGAAACACAGAACAAGTTACAGGAGTCTGATTCTTGAGAGGCTATTTTATAAACATAATTGCAGATCCAATGTAGCAATACCTATTCTAGACCTTGTTTTCTGTTACTTGCGTATCGTTACTTTTTCAGGTGGCGCCCAACGTAAAGTGACACAATTTTATTTTATAATTTATTTATTTTTCAAATTTTTAACAATTTTAATTCTTGTATTCGTCCTGATATGTTGGGGTTTTACAATGCTTTTGGGAGTCATTCAAGATATTGTAGAAGTCGTAGTAGACAACTAATGGTAGGTGTGGTGTTTAACCACATTTTTATCCACATAATGTATATTTAAAGTGGCGCCCAACGTGACGTTATGGTTTTTATTTTTATTTAGTATACCGCTATATGTTTTACTCCCGCTTATATATTTCCTGATCTCTTGGGGGTGTATGTATGTAACTAAAATTTACATTTTTGATGAGTTCGTGCAGCTCAGTTATAGGATATATACTTTAAATTTGTAATACCCAAATTTTTAATTGATCTATTTTCTGCCTAGGATACCTACGGCATATATTTTTCTGAATAGAAGTTCATTCTTCTTAGTTGTAGTAACTGATTTCCATTATGCCTAGCAGGTTACACAGATAAATGTAACCTTATTTATCTATGTGTGTGTATTCTTCATTATATGTATGTATTTGTGTACATGTATATAATCTCTCTTAATTTCCAAATATTTTCTAAATATTAAGTTGTTGATGTTTTTATTATTTTTTATCACACTCTTTATCTGTTTATCTTTGAAACCATTTAAATATGTATTAAATCAAATATATTTGTATGTATGTTGTCATCACTCTTAAAATTTGTTGTTTTTTATTCTATTTTCATTTAATATTCACTCAATACTCAAAATTTGTTTTTCCCTGTCTTTTGTCTCATTTTAGGTAAGAATTGAAGACCAACTACCGCAACAACAACTATTTTTACATAAACTCAATTATTTGGTAAGCCACACGATAATAGATTTTAAGTTGTCTTTTATTTTGTGATTTAAAAGGGGATAAAACGGGAGTTTTGGAATCCCTCTCTGCCACTTATTCAATTGTGAAAAAACTAATAAAAGAGAACTACTTTGCCTAGAAAGTAAGGGAACAGAAAATATTAAAATCGACATTCTGACCAATCGGAAAATAATTAATCAGCCAAATTTTCCTATTAAAATTTGTAAAAATTTGGTTTTTTTGCTGCCATTTTTGAGGCCACAGAAATACTTTTCTAAAAAAAAATGCCAAAATGGCATTGAATTTCTAAATGCTTTCATGTTCTGGAGATATGCATATCCGTGAACAATACGACTTCGAGCTACTCTCGTTTGTCTTCCAAGCGGCTAACACTCGGCCGAGGAGTATTCGTGCGCATGATAGTAGGATCAAATAGTGTTTTGGTAAAGCACCCAGTTGGAGATTTTTGAATCAGTTTTATACCCTCCACCATAGTATGGAGGGTATATTAAGTTTGTCATTCCGTTTGTAACTACTCGAAAAATTCATGATAGACCCCACAAAGTACATATATTCTTGATCAGCATGAAATTCTATCTCCGTCCGTCTATTCGTCTGTGGAAATCACTCTAGCTTCCGAACACTGTAACGGTATCTCCTGATATTCGGTATTTTGATGATTTTAGCGACATTATTCACCGGAATTATTTCAAATTTGATATTTGAAGTTCGTAAAGGATACTACAGCATTTAATAGAAAATTGTCTGTGCAGGTCTAGGTCTTCGTATGGCCCCCATATAACGGTACCTCCTAATATTCGATAATTTGATGATTTTAGCTACATTTTCACCATTTTCTTAAGTTTCGCATTTGAATATTATAATGTCCTATCACAAAAGTTGCCTACGCAGGTCCTCGACGTCGTATAGACACTAATATAACGGCTACATTCGGTATTTTTAAGATTTTAACAGAATTTTTTAACGGATTTTGAAAATTGCCAAATTCGGTTCAAATAGTGTAGGGTATTCAAAGTTCGGCCAAGATTCAAGTTTAGTTGATGTTTACTGTCATTTAGACTTTCAGGGTATTTGTGTCCTTATTTTATTTCAGGACCAATATTCATTAATAATAAACCTCAAAATTGTCTTGCCTTTTGAAAAGCTGCTTTATGCCGCTGGAAGCAAAAATTACTTCTCACGACCTTTGTTGGCGGCTTCTTCCCAGGTCATTGTGAAATCTTCAGGCATTATCCAATGACCATTTAAATTTGCTACGTAATATTCCTTGCCATTGTGATGGCAAAATGGTGTCCCTCATGTTTCCGCACGCACACACGCACACAAACACACAAACACGCATACATGTAAGGACATTGTTTGTATACAATAATAAATACAAACCAAAATACGAATGTGAATCCGGGCCATGGTGGCATAAATGAATGACATTGCAAATGTGTGCGAGTGTGTTTCTCGGTACAATATATGAATTTCACTATTATTATGTGAGTGTGTGTGTGTGTGTATGGGTTGTATACTACTTGCTCATATTTTCCGCTTTGCCAGACCATAATTGAATTTTAAATAAACCCATTCGTTGTATCCTGGTGCGTTGATTTTGTTCGTTCGTTGGCTGGCTGGTTTGTTGGTTGCATTTTTGTTTGTGAATGCTGCTGTGCACTTATCCTTCTTCGTCTGTTGAAGATCACACACTCTCGCCCATACATGCTCTCACTTCAGCCATCAAGCAAGGATGACGAATCCGTTTTCTCATTTAATAGCTATATACATATAAACTACGTATGGTTGATGGCTGCAGAGATGGATGCATGTATGTATGTAGGTGTATTTATAGACCAAATAATACTTCAGGACTCCTCCCGCCATACCTCTTTTGCTCCCCTCTAACCTGAGAGAGGTACAATATCTGTGCAAATGCGCGTTTGTTGTATATGTACGATTTGATAACTGTAAATATAGTCTGTGTGAGATTTTCAGCAGCTTGCCAGGGTTCTTGACTGTTGAAACTATCATCTCTGGCGTTCCTTGTGCTTTAGCACTACACACATCCACACACACTTGTATATATGTCACCTGCATTTTTTTTCCATAAAATCCACTATAGTTTCAATATATGTTTGAATCAACCTCCCCCCACATCTTCGTTGGAAGTGGCAAGCCTGTGTTGATGTCTTATGAATGGGTTTCCATATTCGTTTTCTTCTCCCCCATTTTTGATATTTCATAAAATATTTAACATTAAACTTTTGCACTCCACTATTACTGCAATTGCTACCTGTTTGAACGTTTGCCGTTCGACTGACTACCTTTGTGTCAGGACTCGAACCGGGCTGGCTGGCTGGCTGGCTGTCTGATACTCCTTATGATGTTGTGTTAAAAGATGAGACACTTATTTTATATATTTTTTTGCTCTTTGTTGCTGTCATTATTTGCCAAGAAGATGTTGTTGGGCCATCATGCAACCAACCAAAGGAACAAAGCTACTCCTCGACTAGAGGTCCTTGTGGTGTATATATGTGTGTTTGTGTGCTGGTTTGGCTAGCTGTTGCTGAATGCATTTTAAGTATCTTACCATCTTACAATCCAATAAGCGAGCATATTTCGTTACCTTTAATTCGTATTATTAGATATGTTTCTAGGATCTCATAACATTCGAAGAAATTGAGAGAGGAGGAAAGGTAGGAAGGGAGGGTGTTTGGCCAGGGAATTGGCTGTCATTTTTCGTTTAGTTACAGCATGGAGATTTCTGTCTGAGTATTAGTTACAATCAGGGATGGGAAAGCGTAACTCAAAAAAAAAAAAAAAAAAAAACACACTCCTAGATCCCAATAGAAGAATGTCTAAACTTTTTGAAAATCTACTGAACTCCGGAAGCCAGTAGGCCTATAGAAGATCTTCTATGCACAGAGGCCTACAGAGGGTCTTCTATTCGCAGTAGACCTTTAGAAGGTCTTCTACACATAGAAGGGAGATCTTCTAGTCATAAAAAATACCATCTTCTAGGCATAGAAGGTTCAAAGGAGGTCTAGGAGGCATTGAAAATCCGTAGTAGGTGTTCTAGACATAAAAGAATCATAGGAGGTGTTCTAGACATAGAAGTACAATAAGAGGTCTTCTAGACATAGAAGTCCAATAGAACGTTTTCCCATAGAAGACCTACAGAGGGTCTTTCATACCCAGAAGGCCCATAAAATGTCTTATTTACAAGGAAGTCTAGGCACAGAAAATCCAGAGGAGGTCTACTAGGCATGGACAATCCATAGGAGGTGTTCTACACATAAAATAACCATAGGAAGTGTTCTAGATATAGAAGTCCAATAAGAGGTCTTCTATTAATAGAGGTCAAATAGGAGGTCTTCTAGGCATAGAAGACCCACCGGATGTCGTGTGGACATAAAATATACATACAATTTCATCCAGGGTCTTTCATACCCAGAAGGCCCATAAAATGTCTTATTTGCAAGGAAGACTAGGCACATAAAACCCAGAGGTCTACTAGGCATGGACAATCCATGGGAGGTGTTCTAGACATAACATAACCGTAGGAAGTGTTCTAGATATAGAAGTCCAATAAGAGGTCTTCTAGACATAGAGGTCAAATAGGAGGTCTTCTAGGCATAGAAGACCCATCGGATGTCGTGTGGACATAAAAGACACATAAAATTTCATCCAGACATAGAAGACCTATAGAAGGTCTTCCAATATTAAAATATTGAATAAAACGATGGAGTTCTAAACTTACCATCTCTGATGATAATTTGCCAGAATTATGGCTTTTCTCCTTGTGCGCTTTCTCAATTCCTCTCCTCCTTCTCTCTTCCCTACGTTTCCCTTGTTATTTTGTCAAGGAACCTAAGTTTTTTTTATTTTATTTTTTTTTTTGTGGACAACCAAACGAAAAGCAATCCTTTTTATGTGCCATTGGATAAATGAAGTCTAAGAAGGCATCAATGGCGATATCCTTTATGCCCTTCTTCTTTTCTCTTGTCCAGAGACATTTTTGTGTTAAAACATAAAAATACTTGAAAAATTACTTAGGAATTGCAAGGGTGACAACAACAACAACAACAGCATCAAAAAAGGTCATCTCAAGAATTTTTGATGAAAGGATAATGATATTTAGCTTTTTTTTGTTTCTTTGTCTATTTTGCAAAAATACATTTACTCTTTATCTAATTGACTTTTCTTTTTAAAATCAGACACACACACACACTCACCGAGACCTCAAAAGAGTTGAGCTAAGTAAGAAACGTTCTTAGATTTCTAATTAAAACATTTTGAGATCTCCTCCTGCAGACATCTATCTCTACGCCTTTCCCTTCTGGCCACAATAATTTGTCAAATTGAATTCAATTAATTAATAGCTTAAACTCATTATAAAAGGTTTACAGGTTCATTGTTAGTACCGCTGTTGTTGTTATTTTCTCCACTGCATTGTTGTTGTAGTTTTTTGCTTTTGTTGCTTAAGAATTTCTGTTAACAAAAAGATAACCTCTACCCCCATTCCCGCCATTACCAAATCATCCTTTTGTTCTTGCAAATAATAAAAGCAAAAGCCAGCCTTTTTTCTTAGTTACCCTCTTTACCAATACATGCGTAGATACCACCCATTTAATCGTCGACTCCATCTTCTTTATTATATAATAGGCAAGTTAATAGAGAAACAAACCGAAAACCAAGCAACTTGCCATTCACTCACTCGCTCATTGAGATAAATACTCGGATTTTAGCCTCTATGTTTTCCTTTCATTTGGTTGGTAGGTAAGGCACACAAAAAGGATTTCCCAAACGAGGAGATTGGCGGTCGGCGGTGATTGTTCAAAGGTAGTGGTTTTGCTTGGGGCGAAAATCTTTTGTTACAGCTTCTTAGTTGCTGCCTAACTTGTATGTCCTCTACACCTCTCTCATTCTGTTATTTGAACTCTATCAATTTCATTGTTATTGCCTTTATACAAATCGAAGCTATGTTCGGTTTCTCC